CTATAGGATGTGCATACTTACTGGAGAGACAGAGAGAGAGAGAAAGTGAGAAATCACCTACCAGGGGGATAGGCATACTACAATCCCTTCTCTTTCATTCTCCTCTTGGGATTTTGGGCATGCACACACATGTGAGTTTCAGGCCACTGAGTCTGAGACTCAAACTGCAGTCAACCATGTGGGAGTTCAGCACCTCAACCACTATGCTATATGCTGGCCCCTATTTGTTAAATTTTGCCATATGGCATGTGCACTCAGAAGAAACAAAATAGGGGAGGGAAAGTGAGAAATCACTCCCTGGGGGGTACCCATTCCAGAGTTCCTTCTCCTCCTTTCTCTCCTCAGGATTTTGGGCACTCAGGCACACACATGGAGCATGTTTCTTAAGCTACCAGGTCTGGGACTCAAAGTATACAATCACCATGTGGGATCTGGCTGCCTCAACCACCACACCACAGGCTGGTCTGCAGCTCATTTATTAGGCACCCAGTGTGTTCCTGGTTCTACTGCTATATAGATAAAACAGAAACATTGTCCCTCAGTCTGGGAGGGAACCTTAGCTGAGAATTACACAATCTAAGCTCAAACCTGTTTCTTCAGTTTATTGGCAGAATGATATTAGACAATTTTGTAAAATAATTATTTCATTTAATTTGTTATTATTACTTGTTAATTTGACCAGACAGAAACAGAGACAGAGAAAAAAGGAAAGTGAGAAAGCAAGCCACCAGTCCAGGACTCAAACCATGGTCGGCCATGTGGGAGGCCAGCATCCTTATCCACCACACCACCTGCCCACCCCAATCTTAGGCAATTTTGTAACCCCTTTGAGATTCTAGATTATCTCATCTGTAAAGCAGGTTCAAAAATAGTGTAGATGGGCCAGACTATAGCCTGGTGGTTAAGGCGGATGGATTCCATATGACTGACTGAGTGGTTCAAGTCCCAGACCTAGCGGTTTAAAAAATGTAGTGGGCACAAAATCCTGACAGGATGCAGAGATGGAAGAGAAAGGATAGTGACATGATCATGCCCCATGGAGGGTGCTTTCTTACCCTCCTTCTCTCTCTGTCTCTCACACATGTGCCCCTGTGGCAAACTAAAAACACAGAACAAAAATTGGAGCCAGTAGGTTGCATGGTGGTTAAGGGCACTGGACTCCCACTGGCTAACCATGGTTCAAGTCCTGGACCCGGCAGCTTGCTTTCTCACTTTCTCTCTCTCCTCTCTCTGGTCAAATTAAAATGAATAAATAAAGTTAAATAAATTTTTTTTAAAAAGTACAAGTTTATTTTAAAACAAAACAAAAAGAAAAATAACACTTGTTTCACAGGATTGCTGCTGTAAAGCTAAATGAGAGAAAGTAGGTAAAACATGCAGTGAATATAAGCAATTAGAGAAACACCCTTGGAAACAGTTTGTCACATGATAAAGATTATAAGAAACATACATGTGACCCGAAGGAAGAAGAGATTAACAGCTCTAGGGAGTGGCAAGGGAGTCTTCACTAAGGGACCAGGGTCAGGTCCGAAAGGATGAATGGGAGGGAATTTATTAGGCAAAGAGTGTAGAAGTCGATTCTAAGCCAGGCTTAAAGAACAGCAGGTGCAAAGACATGGAGACCTGGCATGTCCCAGGAGGACCAAGCAGCTGGCCACATCACAGGCAAGGGGAGGGGTTGAAGATATGAGTAGGGTCTGGGGCATAGACACTGCATGTGGGTGGGCCAGCAGGTAGCCTGGTGGTCAAGGTAGCTGGATCCCACAGGACTGACTGCACAGTTCAAGTCCCGGACCTAGTGGCTTGAGGAACACATTGAGCATGTGTGCATGTGTGCCCAAAATCCCAAGAGGACAGAGAAGGGATTGTAGTGTAGTCATACCTGGTTGGGAGTGTTTTCTTTCTTTCTTTTTCTTTCTTTTTTTTTTTTTTTTTGAGAGAGATTTTCACTATAGGGCGCGTGTGCTTGCCAGACAGACAGAGAGAGACAGAGAGACAGAAAGTGAGAAATCACCCCCTAGGGGGGATGGTCATGCCGCAATCCCTTCTCTTCCATTCTCTTCTCGGGATTTTGGGCACGCACGCACACGCGTCCGGCGTGAGTTTTAAGCCACCGGGTCCAGGACATGAACCACAGTGGACTACGTGGAAGTCCAGCAGCATAGCCATTACACTAACTGCTGGTTCCCTGGGGGGGTTTTCTTATTTTCCCTCTCTCTGTCTCTGTCCCTGTCCCTCTCCAGAGAGTGCATAGGCCCCATAGCAAAAAAAAAAAAAAAAAAAAAAAAAGAAAAAAAACGGACCGCATGGGGGGGGGA